ATACCAAGGAGCTTGGTGCTCTTTCCCCTTTAAGATAACCACTGGTGGTATAGTGATTCCTTTAGAACTCACACATTCAATGATTGTGACCCATTCATGATTTCCCTGGATAACTGTATGAGGTCTCTCACTGCGTTCCACTGCAGTAATAACTTTAGAAGTTGTACAGAGACTCATTGCAAAGCCAGTCTCATCAAAATTCCAGATATCATCCTCATGTATACCATGTTCTTTAATAGCATCATGCACAGTCCCAAACCATTGCTTTAGGACCTTTGGGTCCTCCTGCTTTGCATGCTGGTATGTTATCCTCTGATTATACCTTGTATGTAGTTCAGGACAGCATTTAATAAAGGAAGAGGCCCAGTTGACTCCAAGGACTGCAGTGGGATCTTTTGTATGTTCATGAAGTAAGATCTGTGCCATTCCATGTAAAAACTCTGGCTGGACTGAAAAACCTCGTTTATCTGCATTGAGAAGTTGCTTGACAAGAGATTCCTCTTCAATGGCAGTCAATTTATGGCCACTGGCATGTGTTTCTGAATGTGGTTGGATTCCATCAAGCTGATTAATAAAAGTAGACTTTGGCACCCCAAAAACTGCTGCTGCCTTTGATTTTGATTGAATTTTTTTGCTTCTATACGCACTGATGGCCATTTGAATTCAATTTTCTTGAGAAAGAGGCATTTTAGATGATGGTGGTGACAAAATGACGCGTTGAAGTATGATTGTTGGAAAATTGCAGAGGAAGTGGACGGGACGGCTGTGTGGACGGCTCGGCCGTGGATTACGTTATATCTAGTGATGACAAATACCAGTAACTAACGTAATCCACGGCCGAGCCGTCCACACGGCCGTCCTGTCCACTTCCTCCGCAATTTTCCAACAATCATACTTCAACGCGTCATTTTGTCACCACCATCATCTAAAATGCCTCTTTCTCAAGAAAATCGAATTCAAATGGCCATCAGCGCGTATAGAAGCAAAAAAATTCAATCAAAATCAAAGGCAGCAGCAGTTTTTGGGGTGCCAAAGTCTACTTTTATTAATCAGCTTGATGGAATCCAACCACATTCAGAAACACATGCCAGTGGCCATAAATTGACTGCCGTTGAAGAGGAATCTCTTGTCAAGCAACTTGTCAGGGTGCAGGGTCAGGTAGCGATATATATTAGGAATTGACGAACAGGGTAAGCTACGGTCAGGCTATCTACAGGTTCATAGACAAGACGCAGCTCGAAGAGCTGCAGCAGAATCGGCGTTGGCGCAGACAGATATCTCTGTGGGTCACGTGCCTAGTCACGTGCATAGATCACGGGCTGGCACCGTGACAGTACTCCCCCCCTCAAGGCCGAGCTCCGTCGAGGCTAGGCCCAGGCTTATGGGGATAGCGGCGATGATAGTTGGCAATAATCTCTCGGGCATGCTCCAGGTATGCAGCTGGTTCTTCAGTG